AGAGAGAGACAGAGAGAGAGAGAGAGAGAGAGAGAGAAGAAAGAGAGAGTGTCTCAGGAGAAGCAGCAGACACTAGGCATTCAAAGAAGATAGAAAGTCCAGGGCAAAGGCACTGGGGCTGGGCCAGAATGAGGGCCCCTGTGCCTAAGCACATTTAGCAAGAATGTAAGCTGAGGACATTGAGGTGAAGGAGGGACCTGATCAGGTAGGGCTTGCGGGGAAGAGCTCTTATAAAGACTTTGAATCTTTGCAAAGAGCAGTAAAACATGACTATCCTTAGGAGCTGGCAGTGGGTTCATAGGTATTCCTTATAAAAAAAAGTATATTATTTGTAGATGATATGATAGCATACATAATCAATGAAAAATTCAACCAGGGAATTCCTACAGTTAATAAACACTTTCATTGAAGGGGTTGCATACAAGATTAACTCAAAACAATCAGTATCCCTCTAATATACAAATGGCATACGGGCTGAGAAAGAAATCAGGGAAATGACTCCCTCCACAATATCCATAGATAATATAAAATATATTGGGGGTAACTCTAACCAAACAAGTAAAAGATTTGTATGATGAAAACTTCAAGTCCTTGAAGAAATTGGAGAGGGTATCAGAAGATAGAAAGAGCTCCCGTGCTCATGGATGGGTAGGATTAACATAGTAAAAGTGGCCAGGAATTCAGGTATGGTGGTTCATGCCTGCCATCCCAATGTTTGGGAGACTGAAACAGGAGGATCACTGCAAATTCAAACCAGCCTTCATTAGATCAGGGTATGCTGAGGGAGACCCTTTCTAAAACAAGCGACCACAAAAGATAGCAGGGGAGAGGGTTCTTTTAAGCATAGAGTATGTGATTGAGAGTTCTCAAGGTCTCAGATCTCTTCCCACTGCAACCATCACTAGTTCTGTGGAAACTCATCACCTTCAATACTGCATTTTTTAGTTTTCTAAAGGTTTTGATAGAGTAGAATTAATTGACTGAGGCCGGAAGCAATAACATAGTAGAGTTAGGAGGCTGTCCCACTGTAGACTTAAGACTGCCTAGACATAGTCCTTGCTGAGTTGAGAAACTCTGAGCTCAACAAATGTCACCTGCACACACAGGCATGGCCACATGGGTCCAAACACACATGGGGACAGGACATTCCCATACATTCATGTAGACATGGACACACACACACACACACACACACACACACACACACTCACACACTTAACCTGCAGTTCCTCGCTGGAACAGGGATATTTATGTTTTTATGGAACACTTCTCACAAAAAGTTCATGGTATACTTCAGCCACTAATTTAGCAACATTTAAAATCTACTGTAACATGTGAGAATGCAATTATTCCTAGGTATAGTTGGGATTAACTTCAGTGCTCTGCTCTTTATTAAATTTACTTTGTTTCATTTATTTGTGTGTGTGTGTGTGTGTGTGTGTGTGTGTGTGTGTGTTGTTTTGTTTATTTGAACAAGGTCTCATATTATATCTTAGGCTGGCCTCCAACTCACTATATAGTATACAACACTACATTTGGCTGTTTTGATGTTGCTTTGGGTCTTTGGGTGAAATTGTTGGTTTGTTTTGGGTTTGTTAATTTGTTTGTTTGAGACAAGGTCTCTGTACATTGCCCTAGTTGTCCTGGAACTCACTTTGTAGACCACACTGCCCTTGAACTCACAGAAATCCACCTGCCTCTGCCTCCAGAGTACTAGGATTAAAGATGTATACCACCATACCCAGCTCTCTCTCTCTCTCTCTCTCTCTCTCTCTCTCTGTGTGTGTGTGTGTGTGTGTGTGTGTGTGTGTATTGAGACAGGGTCTTGTATGTAACCAAGGCTAGCATCTTATCTCAGTTCCTGGGTGCTGGGATTACAGGTGATTGCCAACCGCAGGGCAGTGCTCTGCTAAGGAAGTCACACTTTTTGTTTGTTTGTTTGTTGTATCTCAGTTTTACTATTTAAATACTACACATAGATTAAGGTGCCTTAGAAACTTTTTTATAACAGGGTTTTGGGTTCTTCTTGTGCAACACATACACACACACACACACACACACACACACACACACACACACACACACCACGCACACATAAACATTTTGGTCTTATAGGAAAGGAGTATATTGAGAAGAGTTTATTTTTGAAAATCTCCACGTTTTAGATCATGCTGACTTAGCTGGGAGAGGAGGGATGAGGAGTGGACTTGGGGAAACGAAGCTGTCACTAGTAAGTGGTTAAGAATGCTAGTGATGAAGGCTGACTGGAGGCTAGCAGTTGAAGGCTGCTCAGTGTGAGGCAACATGCTCAAAGCCCGGATTCAATCTACACACACACACACACACACACACACACACACAAAGAAGACTGTAGTGAAAGATACACACCCAACACCTGCTTAGTTCTACCTCCTACCTGCTTGAGGACTTGGACTCATCACTTAACTAAGATGAGCTGTGAAATGTATATAATAACGACAGTGGCTAAGTTGCAGAACTGGTTGAGAGGATTAAACACGAGAAGTACTTAGCAACTTCTCAAGGCAGAGCAAGTATGGAAAAAGCATGAAGGAAGTATTGTTGTAGTTGGATGCTGGGAGGAGGCATTGTGCTCTGGTAGGAAGGGCTGGCTGTTCATTGCTTCAGTAGAATGCTCATTATGGGATTTCTTTTTGGCTAACTCAGTGGTAAGGCATTTGGTCTTTGCAATTGTACAACAAGGAAATACTATGGGCAGCTAGTGAGCAAAAGGCCAAGGGCCTGCTAAACAGTACACAAGGCAGCTTCCTATAGTAAAGTTATCTACCTGTGAGAATGTACAGGGCTAAGTTGAAAAATCAATGTGAGGCAAGTAATCTGTGAAAGCCGTGTCACAATTCTCATTACTCAGATCTGGGAAGGTTTGCTGCACGGTGACTGGGGATCCAAGCAGTCTAAGAATGTGCCTGGTTATGGAAACAGTCACTAATGGCTAACATTGGTGGTTCCCACTTATGAACAAGTCACTCCTACAGACTGGCACCTGCAGCTGTTCCTCCTGCTGGGAAGGGAAACTTCAGGGCTCGATTTCCTTACCTGCTCCCAAGGACCTCTCACCACCCTCGGCTCTGTTCCCCTCTGTGCTCCATAGGCTATCTTGCTGGACTTTTAATTTCCCGATGGTTTAGGGCAGCAAAGACCCACTTTGTTCAGTCACCAGAGTCATAGCATGGGTCCTGGAAGCCTTCTTTTCCACTCTGAATTCCTTCCTTAAAGAAACTCAAATTTGAGGATATTCCTTCCTCAGTGTCTACTGAACTGTTTGGTAGGTGTTCAGAAACACAGCATCCTTGCTTACTTACAGTAGGGGTCTCTCATTAGGTAATCCAAGTGACAAATGAAGGTGATCTCAGATTAAATGAAATGTAATGCAACCATCCTGTATGTTATTAAATATTTTCTGTATCCTTGTAAGACCTCATCTTGTCCTTGATTGCTTTTCTTTCCTTATGTTTTGATTATAAAATAGCATTGAGTTTGGCCTGACATGCTACTATTTTATAATCAAAATGTGGTCAGAATAACACGTTGTGTATACAGATCTAAAAGTGTGTTATTAAAGTGCTGAGATCTGGCTTTCCTAATCTCCTGATCTGCAATTCATGTACCCCAACCTCCTAGAACTAACTAATCATAGAACCAAAGTATCCAAAAATGAGCATGTCATTTCAAAACCACTTTTTATTATATGTGAGATTTTAAGAGCATTGTTGCTGTCACAGTAATTAAGAGAAAAATATTTCTCATCAGTCTGTCTGCATCAAGTGATCTTGTATGCATATGCATCTGTCTATCATCTTGGATACTCTCTCTCTCTCTCTCTCTCTCTCTCTCTCTCTCTCTCTCTCCCCCCAGTGGCCAATCATCTTGATTGTTATGATTACCCTAAACCAAGAAAATGTTGGTGGTTCTTCACCTGAGTTTTATTTGTACAGACAGAATTTTAGAAAAATAATATCTTTGGTTATAAGCCCAACTAACAAACCCAAGATCACTGGGGAGGGGTCACTTTGTCATTAGAATTTTCTAGCGCTCTCCAGGTGATTCCAGTGGACTGACAAGGTGGCTGCCATGGTTTAAGAAACTCTATTATGACAGGTAGAGGCAAAACACTCAAGTGAGCATTGTAATGTTGTTGTCCCACATCTTTTCTTAGGTGTTTCGGCATGGGGACCGAAGTCCCATCGATACCTTTCCTAACGACCCCATTAAGGAATCCTCATGGCCACAAGGATTTGGCCAACTTACCCAGGTTAGTTTGATCTATTTTCTTGTTTTATTTTGTTTTTATTTGTTTTTATTTTTTGGTTTTTCGAGACAGGGTTTCTCTGTGTAGATTGGATTATTTGTATTTTTGAGGCAGAGTTTTATATAGTACAGGCTGGCCTTGAACTCCCTACATAGCCAAGAATGACCTTGAAGTCCTTCCTTCACCTCCCAAGTACAGGGATTTCAGCTGTAGACCACAGCTTTGGTTATTTTTCTTTTAGTAAAGGAGAAATATGTACAGAATTTTCTACTTTGATACATTTATCCTGCTGACTGTATTTAAGTGTGAGAAGTTTCCATAGAGATTGTCTGGAGACATGATAAAAATAGCAACAATGTCTTATTTAATTGGCATAGGGCATGGCCTGGGCATTAGGAGGTTTGGATGCTCCTCAACTGATTGCCTCATTTTAGTCTTCATCCAAAGCTGAGAATCACAGCCCTAATCAACCATTAGTTTTTGTAGAAATTATAACTCAGAAAAGCTATGGGAAGCCAGTATCTGCTGCTTCAGGTCAGAGCCCTTCCCACCATGGCCTAACCATCTTTCTACCTAACAAGAGAATGTCACAACAGCTCATATATTGTTTTCTTAGTACAGGGCTCCTGTTTCCTTGCTCTGATTTTCTAGTGAGACTAAAAAATTTTTGAGGATTTATAAGGTCCAGATTCAAACCTAGAAGTCTCTTAAGTCACTATCAGATTCCAAAACTCAGCTATAGAAGACAGTTGGACTCAAAGTACCCACTTGTTCAGTTACTCAGGCCGTGTTATGTTGTTCCTTTGCAACAATCATCCTCATATTTGTTGAGAGGTGATGCTAGAGATACTTCCAAGTGACAAGCAAATGAGGCAGTGTGTGCAAGCAGTGGCCCCAGTGCAACGTCCTTTCTGACTTGTGGGTCTCTGGTGAAGCTCTGAATTAATGACAAACCTCAGTGCAATGCTTCTCTAAACCTGGCACGCTGTTCCCTCAGACTGAATCATTTTGAGTCCTTGTTAAAACAGATCCCAGGGCCACATTCCACATACAGAGGGCTAGAATCTGAGGGGGAGATGCTGATGAATCTGAGGTTCAACAGGTGCCTCTGGGTACATTTATTTTAATGCACGCCAGTGCTCCAGCAGCACCAAGCTAAGGCTAATCTCAGTGACCCACCAGACTCTCTGAGAGAGATGGTTAAAACAGATTCCTGGGGCGGGAGAGTTGGCTCAGTGGTTAAGAGTATTTGTTGTTCTAGGAGATGATTCAGATTCAATTCCAGGTACCCACATGGTGGCTCAACAACCATCTGTAACTCCAGGGGATCTGATGCCCTCTTATGACTTCTGTTGCATAGACACACATACAGGCAAAACACTCATACACATAAATTAATAAAATAAGTAAATCTTTTTTTAGAAAGACTTCTGAGCCCTTCTTCCAAAGTTACTCACTTGGTAGACCAGGTTGACCTTGAACTCACAGAAATCCACCTGCCTCTGTGTCCCCAGTGCTGGGATTAAAGGCATGAACCACCACCACCCAGCACTCCCAATTTCTTGCTCAATACGTCAAGAATTTGGTTTCTAACATGCTCCCAAATGATGCCACCCCTGCTGATCTACAGACCACACTGTAACAAGCTGTTTTTTTTTTTTCATGAGACAGCCATAGGTAGACTGTGAATAAAACAAATCAGTCAGCTTATTGTAAGACTTAAAGATTCAGCAAGACCAACTTCATCAGATGGCTGCATTTTATTCATAAAAAAAAGAAAATCCCTAGGAAGTGGTCAACTAATCACTTCGAGTGTTCTGCCCACAGGAATCTCACTACCACACCTAAGGTGAACCATTTACCTAGTTAAATCACCAACTACCAATTAAACATATTATATACATAAGCATCTACATTGTGTCCTAACAAAGATGAAGGCATATTCTCGGGGTCTCCTGACTAAGGCAACTGTTCTCTCTTGTCTTAGTGTAAAAGGGAGGTTTATTGTGGAGCTGTGATGCATATCTTGTTCACGTTACACACAATGAAGAGAGACACGTTTCTATAATCCTGTATACTTTCCCTAACCTTCCTTTTTATTTTCTTTCCCCATAGCGGGGCATGGAACAGCACTATGAACTTGGAAGTTATATAAGGAGAAGATATGGAAGATTCTTGAATGATTCCTATAAACATGATCAGGCAAGTTGGGGAACCAGAACTTTGAACCTTAACCCTTGAAAAAAAATCAATATAATTCTTCATGCTCATGAGGAACTTATACCTTTGCCTATTTTCTGAAGAAGTTATACACAGATGTATTGTTTACAGATGTGTTGTTGTTTATGGAATTATTTTCCCCTAAAAATTTATGAATTTTTAGTTCATTTTTGGCTTAGTGTCGCTGATCAATTCAACTATTGGTCTACTGCTTGCTTTACCCCATTGCATGTTTTGGTATTATCCATCCACCCCTTAGATATGATTATGACGTTCCCACAGTGCCTGATGATATCTTGGGCTTCTCTTCAGCTCTTTCCCTGGCATCCTGTCAGCTCCACAGAAAGAAAACGTTTTCTTCTAATTTTCCATCTGCTTTGATTTATCTTTCTCTAGGTTTATATTCGAAGCACAGATGTTGACCGGACTTTGATGAGCGCTATGACAAACCTTGCAGCCCTGTTTCCCCCAGAAGGCATCAGCATCTGGAATCCCAGCCTGCCCTGGCAGCCCATCCCCGTGCACACAGTGTCTCTCTCTGAAGATCGGGTCAGTATCCTGGGTAATTCAGGAGGAGGAAGCTAGGCTACCAGAGACTTACAGATTCAGTACGCTGGATACACAGGACATGAAAATGCCCAGATAACCAAGGCTAGGAGCTGAGGTTTTCTTTGGATCCATTTCGCTTTGCTACCATTTCAACTTTAGGTAATTTCTCTCCCTCCATCTACACGCACGCACGCACGCACGCATGCACGCACGCGGTCTCTCGCTTTCTCTCCCTCTCTCTTTCTCTGTCTCTTTCTCTTCCTCGTGTACTGTCTTCAATCCCCATGATTTTAGTGCCCACCATAGGTTTCTCATCTCCCCTAAATACCCAAAGATCTCCCTGCCACCATTAACACCCCTCTCTCATTAAAAAATGTACATTCTGAGGCAAACGAAATAAAGCACTCAGGGAGGTAAAATAATAAACGAACTTCACCCGATGCCCATTGCTAGGAAACAATGGTCAGTCCTGAGCCTCCCCCATTCAAAACATCTTCTTCCCTGTGAGACAGAGGTTCTCGGACTCAGCTGCCCATGAGAACCAGCTTGAGAGTTTTCAGGATGCCCAATGACTAGGGACACTCCTCAAGTCAGTCTCCGAGGGTAAGGCCTGTACAGCAGTATCTTTTTGATTATTTTTATTTTTTATTTTTATTTCATTATACATGTAGGAATGTTTTGCCTGCATGTATGTCTGTGAGCCACGTGTGTGCCAGGTGCCCTTGGAAGCCAGAAAAGGGAGTTGGATCTGGAACTGGAATTGCAGATGGTTACAAACTGCTATGTGGGTGCTGGGTATCGAACCTTGGTCCTATAGAAGAGCAACAAATGCTCTTAACCACCACAGCATCTCTTCAGCCCCAACATCAGTATTTAAAAAATAATAATCTTCCTAAATGATTTTATGGGCAGCCAAGTTTGAGGTGCAGGGCCATATGCCTAGTTGCCTAAATGGAACTACTTGAGAGAAATTCAATTTAACTCATACACGGTGGGGTTGACCAAGAAATCTAGACCTTTCAAAGGAACTGCTACTTAGAAAAATATGAATAATTAAATAAATCTAACCAATGTAGACTGTAAGGGACTATGAAGAAAATGGTTTGGAACAGAGACTTATTCCTCAATTTCTCTGAGCTGTATCATAAGCTTGATCATTTGTGATTTTATAAAGTGAGCGCTGCAGACTGGGTCATTGATTTAAATACAGAGGTTAATTCAGCTCACACTTTGAAGACTTGAGGTCTGAAGCATGACACCAACATCTGTTCAGAATCTGGAGTGGGCCCTCTTGCTGGGTCATGACCTGCCAGAGGATGTGAGGTGGTGATGCAGAGCAAGTGTATCTAAGAAAGTTTGCTTTTATAACAAATCCCCGCCCACCCATAGGGACCACTCATCCTTTCCTGGAGGCAGAACGTTTGTGACCCAATTACCCCCTATCATCTTGTATTGTGTCATGTGGTTAATACATGCTAAGTTTCTTTCATCAAACAGATCTTAAGTTAGGGATGAAGCTTGGTCTTATACTCATGGCTCAGGACAGCTCTGAGAGTAACCTAGTGTTTTCAACAATTTTGTTAGACTTCTTAACTGATAAGAATTTTGCTAGCCTTAATGAAAAAGTAGCTGGAGCCTATAGTTAGATATTTTTTCTGTTTCTCTCTCCATCTCCCTCCCTCTTTTCTCCCTTTTCCATCTTCCAATAGCACCAGTATCTTCATTGTGTAATTTGATTACCATCATCTGGATTACAGTTGACTAGTTCCTTTGCTATGATATTGATATTACATTTCAGGCTTCATCTCTGCAGAAAAGGGTGTGCTGAACATAATTTTCTTTTATTTTTGGAAAGTATTGTTCACAGACTTTTTAGAACATTGGTAATATAATGCTTCCATTCTGCTCTGTGAAGGTAAGGATATAAATGCATCAGTCTAGCTTTTCAGAAAATATCAGAAAAATGGTTACAGTAGATTAACCTTGAGTGGGGTTGACAGGGGAGAGCTGTTTCTACAAAGCATGTTGAAAAATTCTACAAAGCACGTATGAAAAATTCATACAGCTATTAAGTCAAGTTGCATATACTGAAGAAGTTCAGAGAAGAGGCTACCCAGGGCAGGGAACCAGATCCTCACAGAGAGTAAAACTGTGAGCGAGACTGCTGAGGTAAGGGACGAGATGAAAGCGTGCATCCCTCAATATTGCATTCACATGGTAAGTGTTGTATTGAGCCACTGTCCTGACAGTGCTTAGAAGGAAAGGATGTTGGCGCCTCAGAGAGTAATTGTTGATGTAATTCAGGGATGCAGAAATGAAGGTCTGCGATTACGTGGTCGCAAAAGGAGGGAAGCAAAGATAAACCAGGTGGCATACAGCATCGGGAAGGACAGACGGGGAAGCAATTGAGAAAGCTTTCTGACTAACACACCACCCTTGTTCTAGTTATTGACAATGCTTCAGTGAGCATGACGGTAGAAGAGCCAGTTCACTTGAGATTACTATCTTATAGACAATAAAGAACACCGATAAAATGCTTCCATATTGTGATAAGTTCCTTAGAAGAAGGAAATAAGTTGCTGTAGTGGCTGGGGCAGAGTGGCTTAGAAACCCCAAGGTGGGCCACTCACGCAAGAGGGTCCCCAGTGTATCTGGACAGGAGAATGTGAACACGAACAGCAGTGGGGGGGGGTAGGGTAAAGCATTTACTATTATTTACTGGTCACCTCACATAGACTCTTACAAGCCGTGGCAAGTTTGGATTTGGTTCCAGGTAAAATGAAAAGTCTGTGGAAGTTAAGACCCACAAAAATGATTTGATCTTTGGGGTGCCATTAGATATGGTGTAGCTGCTTTGAGGAGAATGGACTGAGAAGTCAGAGGGATGGACAGCAACTGACCAGATAGGAGGCGTGGGTAGTTCCTGAAACACAGACTATGCCCGTTCAGACTGGGAGAGGACAGCAAAGATGAAGGAAGGGGTCTCTATTAGAGCTAGGTCGAAAGTAGACCAATTCTAGTGACTGCCTACAAAGCAGGTTTATAAACTTTATCATGAGCAGAAGTAAAGACATTAGTAAAAGGCAATGATGGAAGATGAAGTTGGCCTCAGTTTCACACACTAAACTTCAAAACATCGGTGATCAAAGAGCAGCCTTCAAATAGTGCTGTCAAGAGCTGCAAACCCAGACCAGTTGAAAAGAGTCCCCAAACAAACTTGTGAGTCAGCAGCCTGTGCATTACAGTTAAAGCTAAGAGTGATTGTGAAACTTACACTAATTTTACAATGATTATTTTGTCCTCCTAATAGATTTTTAATTGTATTTTCCATACATTTAATATATATCCTCACTTTTGACAGTCTGAAGATTTGCTATAATGAAGCCAATGAATAGTTGGTCCCTTTACTATTCTATCCCAAACCCTTAATTTCTCTTACATAACTCCTGGGAGGAGAGAGGGTGCACACAGATGTGCACTTAGTGCCAGAATTAAAGGTGTTAGGAAGAAAGCAAGAGAACAGTCATCCACATGGAAATGAGCCCTGTGGATATTTACCAGTAGCAAGCTCATGAAAGGGGAATAAATAAATCACAGTTCCTGCATCTGGGTACATGCCCTATTGTTTTAAGGCCTGAGGACTATTTGCCTCATTGCCTCTAATTTTAGAACTTCTATTAAGCTCAAAGGACTCTGGGGGATTTTAAGGCTGCTTTAGACCTAATGAGGCTTAAAATACTGGCCAATGCTGGTCTCACTAATCAAGGTTTTTTTTTTGTTTTTTTTTTTTTCATCCACAGTTGCTCTATCTGCCTTTCAGGGACTGTCCTCGTTTTAAAGAACTCCAGAGCGAGACTTTGCAATCTGAGGAATTCCAGAGGAGGCTTCATCCATATAAAGTTAGTAGTGTCGTCTTCCAAAAACTGGGGTATGAAGGTCAAGACAAAGGATGAAACTCAGCCTTCTTGAAAGAAGTGTGGGGTGAATGTGTCTGTCAGTGGCTCGTTTTAGCAATGGGCTAGGGTATTT